ATAACGCGTCCAATCCACAATCATCGGTTTAATTTAGTCATAATTTCAGTTTACCAATGTGGCAGTGCTACACAGTGATCTTCAGGGAAGGAACTGCGTCTAAACGCATGTGATCTGCAGTTTAATTACATAGCAAGTTCAGTAAATCGGCATAATAAAGCAGCAATCATTTAGTTAATCATCTACATACAGCAACCGTATCTTGTCTCTTAGCCGCATTTGATTTTGCTGGTGAGAAGCTTCATCAAGCTATTTTTGGAATAATGTAGGTTCATAACATAAGTAATACTTAATTAGAGAACTAGAAATTACGGTGACATGTTATACCTACGCAGTTCATTTATGAGACAACAAACGAAACACTAAAAGTATTATAATAATAGGCCAGAATTAATTCTAACGATAAAATCTACACTTCGAACCGATTAATGAAAGCGTCTATTAAAAGAAACGAGACAGAAATCTTACTGGGGATACTGGGAACGACCCGTTCTTCAAGTGCCTGAGCACTGCGGGTCCCAACTCTTTCGTTGGCTTGATCTATGGACATTCGGTAGGACTCCTTGGACGAGGGATCGGCCCGTCGCAAGGCCTCTACCTGTACACAGGAGAGCACAATAGAGAAAGACGTGGACAAACATCCATGGCTTGAGTGGGATTCGAACCCACGGTCCCAGCGACCAAGCGGCCACTGCGGACCCCGACAGAAATCTTACGTGGCTATAATAATTTTCAGTCCTTACATCCCAATTTACAAAACCATGTTTTGTTTTGTTTTTAGTGCACAACGTAAGCAAATATTTTAGATAGAATACAATAATAACAAAATAAACAGTACAATACAGGAAATATCGTAATTAGTATAAGCTGATAGTGCACTACTTTTTGAATAACGCGTCCAATCCACAATCATCGGTTTAATTTAGTCATAATTTCAGTTTACCAATGTGGCAGTGCTACACAGTGATCTTCAGGGAAGGAACTGCGTCTAAACGCATGTGATCTGCAGTTTAATTACATAGCAAGTTCAGTAAATCTTCTCGGGTCGCTTCGCGTAACCAATTGACGCAGTCGATTGCCCGAGGAAATTTTAACGAGTTTACTCGCCGCGAAAGCTTCAATTCATATACACAGCAAGTTGTTTTTCGTGTCACGTATTGCGCCGATGAAAGTGGTCAGTTCTTAAATTAGTCTACGTCGCCCTTAATGTTTGCGTTGATTAATTTATTCGCTAAACTGAAGCTAATTCATTAAGCGAAGGCATCATTTTTAATTTCTTACTTGTAACACCAGATCTCAAAGGATCTTAGCCTCTTTTCGTTGAAATCTTATTGATCCTTGATCTTTGCCAATCGTTTCTGTCGGATTTTTTTTATTGAATTTGAATCTCCTGTAATAACTTTCGTGGGGGTTTCTTTTAAACCCTGATCTGCAAATCTGTCACTGAAGGGTTTCTGTTGAACCGTGATCTCCAGAACTATCCTCAGACTGTTTTATATTAAATCTTTGTCCTCGACAATCGCCTTTTGTCTGGTATCTCTTTAATCTTAACCTCTGGTAATAGCCTTCAGCTGAGTTATTTAAACTCGATCTGCAGTTAACACTCTCGACTAGGTTTGTTGAAGCTTAACGGGTTTCTGTTAAACACTGATCACCCTTCATCTGGGTTTTGTCAAACGACATACCAGACTACACGGTGAAACAACCCGGAAGAGAGCAGCATCTTCACTAGATGCCGCGAGAACCTGAAATCTCACGAGAGAGCTGTTGTTTTGCGAATGTGACTGTACTCAGGCGCCCTTGCAAGGACGGATTCTATATCCATAAAGGGTACTAGTGACCTTGAAGGAGACTACCTAAGTGTGTCATGAGAAGGTTGAAGAACTGTCTGCGCTGAAAAACTTTTTCTGTCGACGGTTTGAAGTGAGGCTGGGCAGCAAAATAAATTATGACAATGTTCTTCTGGGCTGTGATGTGTAGACTCGCAGACAGTTGCCAGTGTTTCGGAGAAGCATACTGTCTCCATCTTCAGGGCTGAGATAGCGATGCTGGGAAGTGGAGATGTTTATATACGATGATAGGAAGGAAAGGCTAGACAGTATGCTTCTCTAAAGGAATTACTATCTAAAGGCGAGTCTACACAACGTCTCAACCCAGAACCTTATCCTCACCGACGTGAGAACCTCAGATCTAAACAAAATAAATATATTTTGGCTAAAGCATTAGAGTTTCGAATTTACTTCTGAGCATAGTTTTCAGAGTGAATACTTTAGTCAATATATGAAGAATCTGTGACGATATGGAAACACCTGCCTCAGTGACGAAGTGGCAGAATCCGAAAGCTTAATTATGTGATTCTGTTATCTGTTACGTATGAAAACATCTGCATAATCTGGAGTCCTTTAGTGAAATCTCGTAAAGACACATGAAATCCTTTCTATAGGCTGTTCGTCTATTCTGTTAAGTAGAAGTAGCACTCTTAATGAATCGAGGCCTATATTTCATCAATATACAAATATTTATTGTCATAATTTGGTTTTAAAAGAGTCTGTGAAGTCATATTTGAGCTTCATATAAAATGGTATGTACTTTCGAACCATATGAATAAAATCAACTTTGTCCAGCGACTTTTATAGACTATGATACGAAATTTAATCGTAATTTTCGAAGTTCGGGTAGTGAAGTAGATGGCAAGATAGGGAGATTAGTAGTAAAGATTGAAAATGAATGAAACTGTCGCAAGAACGTGTCTAATGGAGGGTTTTATTAGTAGTATTAAACCTCGGATTTTACCACCAGAGATTTTATAATCGTTGTTATCACTACTGCTCTGTTGTTAACGGCATCCTTACACTGTCAGTAATGCTCCTTGCTCTGTACACACGCTGCAGGCCTATTTATTAGTACATGAATGGCGTGGATTAATAAATTGAACGACCTGCAGAGGTTTTGTTACTACTTTGTCAGCTGACTGGAATGCACTTTACTTCTGCATGGCGTTGTTCGTGTGCTAAGCACGCACCACCGTCTCGTACTGCTTTCTGCTGGTCTGAATAGAGTTGTCAATGGGTTGGACCTGACAAAATGCACAGCAACATTTTCTTATAACAGGTAATCGATAAATGTCCTTTCATGCGTTTTTACACAAAGTGAGTCAAGTGAAGACATAGCTACTGGGAGGCTGTTACCTATCATTTACAAAACTACTGACGGTTTTGGATGAAATTTGGTAATGGTACAGTGTATATGTGGTATACTGAAAGCTTTTGAAGTGAGTTGCAGTAAGGAGGCGAGTAGTTCTACAGTAAGTGCCTTCTCTGATTGTTATGGTTAACGTTTTATAGGCTATATATAATGCAGATATTACATAAATTCCTATTTGATGCTGGCTGCCGTATTCGCTCGGAGAGGCCTGAACGTTCTGTTCTACAAGTGCTGCCCTTTTTAGACAAAATGTTGAAGTAACATAGTACGTAATACGGTTTGTACGTGTCGTTATTTTTCCAAGTTTAAATATGGAAACGTACTCTGAGAAAATAATATGATAAACATAAGAAAAGGTGTGGAAATAAAATAATAATAATTCGCTGTTGTAGGCTTTTTAAACAGCGCCCCCCCCCCCAAAGTAACATGTATGAGTCACCTGCTCTTCCCTCCTCACTGTGTAGAATTCGCTTATTTTGAGTTCTCTTCTAATGTAGAATGGGTTTGAGTTATAATTTTAGAGCGAAACTCGCTCACACCCATGAGATGCGTGATTCTTGACGCAGATCGCAGTTTCTTTGCTAACTGAGTTACGTGTTACACCGTTACAATCAGATGGCTTGGTTGGATTGCCTTAGAACGATCTCATTCAGGTTTGGGCACATCTCAGTTGCGTTTACTCTTCGATTTTTCTTTTTGTTCCACATGCCAGAGCTTTAGACTTGTCACAGTTCTCAGTCATCGAGTTTACATTTTGACTAGGTTCTTGATCTTTCTCAGAAGAAGCAACCACGTCCGCTTTCACTAAGGTTAAGAAAATCACTTAGGAGAGATCAGAAACTCTGTTAATAACTAATTCTTCACGGCAAAGTCCTTCTTGTGAATCTGACTGTCGCTCACCTTGTCAAGAAATCTGCCGATGTTCATAGAACGCACAAGGTCATTATCGCATTGGCAAGACACCTCTTCTAGACCCTGTCCTCCTCAGTCCAGTAAATCGAGTAGTCCCTACCCACAGATCAATGTGTTAATCACTTGTCTTCCCCTTAATGCCTGATGCTAAGTGAGTCGTTCACACAGTGATCAGTTATTAGTATACTTAACGACTGAGCATATTGAAATTCAAGTCTTTCCGAGCGTGTTAAGCACTACGCTTTTGTCCATATGATATTAGTATAAGAAGTCCATTTTAATTATTACATTATTCAGGGCATCGCCCTAATGATGGAGGCAGTAATCAATTCTGAAAACGTCGGTAATTTACTACCAGACTACACAGCGCCATGTCTAGGGAGTCACTGATCTTCGTATTCTCCGCCGTGAGCACCTGAAATCTCATCAGAGATCTCTTGGACAAAGAACAATCTGTAGGCCTGTCATTAACTTTTGTTTGGCGCTTGATTTATTTAAAGACGCATTTTAAATTGCTTCGGTTTTATATCGTCGATTGGTGGGATGTATGTGGAAGTAAATAGCCGTGGCCTATTTAAGGCGCTATATCGGCAAATGACTGAAGGGAACACCGGAGACGAAATTGGAATGGGTGCCTGTCCCTCGATTGCGTCGCCAGGTTGTTATAGTTCTTCATAATGTAACATATTTCATAAGTGACATGCTTATTTTTTTTCCTCTCACAAATTATTGGCCTTCCTCCTAGAACTTTGTTGTGTTTAAAGGAATTTGCTCAAGTGCACAGTAGGAAGTCTGAGCTGGATAAGGATTCCTGTGGCTTTTTTTACCTTGAGAAGTCAGAGCCTCCGATAATGTGCATAATGTGTGTGACGTTACATTTTCAGCCTGACTATTATCGAGACGCCCCGCAATTCCGCCGAGTGGGTGACGGACCGCAGTACCGACTGGAAATCCCGCGAGCAAAACTAGACTTCACAGGCGCCTATTCTGTCATCGCCCGCAACTGCCATGGAGAGGCCAAAGCCGTGATATCCCTGCAGATCTACGCGAAGGGTAAGTACGCTTGCTTCTGTAGTAACTTCTCAGGTTATGCAGCGTCGCACTAGATACAGATCTCACTGAGTGGTTAACACTTTTGCTTCGTAGCGGGAGGTCCCGGGTTAAAATCTTACCTCGGAGACCGGGTGTCCTGGCCTACGATTTTCGTGGTTTTCCCCAGTCCCTACAGGCAAATGCCGGGATATTATAGAAGATTAGGCTACGACAGCTTCTTTAATATTATTTCCAGTTCATTAATCATTCTATACTTAGACGTTGTGTAGTCTGAAATATTGAAAGCGTCGTTAAATAAACCGAAAATAAAAATAAGGTCTCCTGACTCACAGAGGGGTTTCCCTGAAGATCATAAGAAGAAGAAGACCTGTCTGTCCTGTTCCGACTTCGTAGCCATCTTTAAAAATGTTCCCACATGCTGGCGAAAGGGCTCGTTCTTTGCCCGATTCTTGAAGATTCATATAAGAACATCTGGAGAACACGTCATTAGTATATTTATCAATGCTTTGTGCACAATCATTCTGCTGCGAGTGTTTCCGTTACTAAACACTACAGTTGCTGATATTTAACATCTACGAGATCCTTTGGTAACATGTACTTTCATCCCGAATAAGGTTTCATAAGCTGCATCGTTCGACGTCCGTAGTGAAAAACTGTGCCTCTTTGTTTCAGCAAGAACCTAACCTATCCAAGTCTGCAGCTAAAATACGCCCTACGCTTTGATGCTGTTGATAATACTTATATGGAAATAGCTGTACATGTTCAAGCTTAAACAGCATGAGCTTCATAATTCTGTGTGAGCGCGTGCAGAGTATCAGCTCAACACATTTCACATATATTAATGATGTCTTACAAGGAATCTGGCAGTCGCTCATCTGATCAGGAAATTCCCGGCTTTTATGGAACATATATGTTCGTTATTTTGTTGATAACAGTCCGCCAGTGGAACCCATCCCGAGACAGATGAATCACTCCATATCTACACAACATATTTCTTCAAGGTCCGTTTTAATACCTTAGTTCCATCTGCTATTAGATCTGCCAAAAGGTCTCTTCCCTTCATCATTTCTGACTGAAATTGTTCATGCATTTGTCGTCTCTCCCATGCGTGATATAAATTCTGCACATTTCGTCTTCCTTAAGAAATATACGTATTCATATTCCTTCTCCTCATAACTAATCATCACCAGTATCATCGTTTAATTGCCTGTTCCGAAAGCATCTTCAAGTAGATGGTCGGTCTTCGCCTCAAAGGTCTGGTCTCATGTGCCTTCTTTTGCACTTTGTTACGTAACTAGACATTCTTAATACAAGTTTAACAGGCCATCAGTCTCTCCAGGAAAATGTCGGCGTAGAATTTCAAATTAGGACATGACCGGCGCATCCTTTCATACCCATTCCAGTAATTTATTAATTAATTATCACACAGATAACGATTTCTGAATTACATAAACTTCTCTGCCATTCACTGCTTGTCAGTAACAAATGAATAGCAACGCATCTGTTAACCTTTCACTGTATTGGAGTTCAGTTACGTGATATAGAATTCACGTGTTGTAGGCTGACCTTGTTGATGTTAAGTTCTTCTCGGTATTAAGTTCTGCGACTTGTTGCTGGTTGCTGAACGTTCTGTGTCCGTGTATGGAAGTCGTCGTGTCTTCCGGTATAGTGATCTCACGCTGATGATGAAACAATTTACACAGTACTTGTCTCATTAAAGGAAAATCATGTTGGCTGGACTGTTGTTTTATATTTTAGACGGAAATCCTTGGAAAGACCAAACGGGGAGCGCACTGAACAACCAGTCATGTGACGAACGACGAAAGATGGAGAATTATGTGATATACACAGTGTTATCTAAAATGAGCTCCAAAACACACAAATTAATTGCGTTCTAGATTACTGAACGTTTTTCTCCAAATACATTGGTTAACCAATTATTTGTGTAGTCCCGGAAACTAAATTTAAGTCACGTAGTATGTACACTCGAAACTGTAAGCTACGATACTATTGTCTGTTTCGAATTTAAAAGAGTGTGCGCTCGTGAAATTAAGCGTTGATTAAGTATAATATTAAAACGAATCTTTAAAAGATAGGGTGTGAAGATCTTGAATGTATTCACATGGCTCGGAGTCCAGTGGTGGACTCTTGTGAAAACAGTTATGAACATTTTGTTCTAAGAGGGCGAGGAATTTCTTTATTGGCTTCTTACGTAGGCCTACGAGTGTTCTTCTAGGAGTTATATGGAGTAAGTAATATACAAATATTCATATATTTTAATAGCGTACTTATGTGAAACATAAACTTGTCTGGGATGGAAAATATTAAGGTCCCTTGCAAGGTTTCACTGTGTAATTGGTTTAAATTTATTAAAAGATGCATGTGCATAGGCACACTCATTTCATGACTCATCTTGCGTAATGACATATCCATAAATACCACGAATAAATTATGACATTTACGTCTGACTTCCTGGCTTGCAATGAGAAGAGATAACATTATTTTTATTTACTCCGAACAGCGTAACGCCCAGCAGAAATTATGATCCGGTCATTTAGATCCATAAATGGCTAGAGTGGAGAGAACGAATGCTTATCTCTGTAAATGGAAACGAATGTATAAGTCTGCAGACAGAAGATGTTTTCATGGTTAGTCTCCAGTGTGATGTTCTCCACATTTCACGCGGTGTGTGTTCTGTCTGGAGTTCCTAGTTCGAAATGCTTCTAGTAGTGTGCTTTGCAAACAGAGAGACGTGTGAGCGAATTGGCGTATTTCTTGCCGTTTCGGTTCCAGTACAGACGAGTAGCACAGCATCCTGCTTTGCCACACAGCCTGTTTGAGTGTGTTGGCTGGGCCTGTGAATTTGGTATTTTCCAGTTTTCAGAAATTGTCTCTTTGTCTTGTAGAGTCTGCTGCACCTGGTAAGGTCGTCCGTGACGTTGGTACGTATAACAATGCACGCATCACAACCCAGAAGATCACAATTCACTTGTTCCCCAGATGTGTGGGCGTCTTTGTGTATGCCTTCTCAGTGAACCGAATGTTTTTGTTTGCAGGTCAGGGCAAAGGAGACGGCATGGACCACAGTTCCGTTAAACACGGGTAAGTAGAATGCGTGCTCATGTAAATCTCCTCATGAGTAATGCCCTTCGATTTGTCTTCTGTGCAAAACATAGTTCTGTTTCAACGGTCGGCCCACAACTTCAGATGCAACAGATGATTTCTACCACTGAAACTTTTAATTCGTAACTGATTTTAAAAATTATCATGGAAAAGTCAGTCAGTAGAATGACTGGCTACTGCCATGACGGACAGCCAAGCGACGGGCTAATTAACTAAATTTGATTGTCCGTGAAGGCACGATATTTCTTTTTGCTATCATGTTAAAACCGGCCAGAGGCCATCAGATATCACCGAGGGACAGTGATCCTGATAGGGCTTTCTTGTTGCAGAAAGGTACAGACGCTGCCAGTTGTCAAGCGGGAGCTGAAGGATCTTCGTTGTTGCGACGGAGACGCCGTGACGCTAGAGTGCTGCGTGCAGGCCACACCGGCCCCGGACATCCGATGGGAAAAGGGCGGCAGAGTACGTACAACTTTCGGTCTGAAATGCTGTGGTCAGTGCCCTCTTGTCAGACAAGTGATTAGTTGGCGGAAGATGTTTCTGTGATGTATAGCTGATCCGGGTTGTTGTATTGACAGTGTGGAACTTTCGGGATGACATGTCATATGGCTCAGTTGTCCTGGGATTCGACAAATAAGGGTGATGGCTGTTAGTCCGAAGGTAGTGATGACCGTCATGTGGTGAGCGCTAAATCAGAGTCCGTCTGTCTGCATCAGATACCGTACGTCAGTGTTTCTCAGCCTTTATGGTACCATGGACCCTGTCCCCAAAACTCTCATATGTTTTGATTAAGTAGAAAAACGCTATATTAATTAAAATATGAATAGTAGAAGTAGCCATGTTTTTAATCCAAAGTGGAAGTAGAAAATGTGATGAAGAAATCTTAAAGCTTACAGTAATACAGCATTAAAAATAAAATGAGAATTTATTAAATTCGTAAACCCCTTTTGCAAAAGTTCCAGACCCTCAGGAGTTTGCGAACCCCCGGTTAAGAAACATGTCTGTACGTTATGTCTCGTGACTTGTACAATTAATATATTAATAAAGTCTTATCGGGCAATCAACATCTAACACGGCTGATAGCCCGAGAAGACTTTATTAATGAAAGCCGCTGTGAAAGCTTCACATCAATTAATATATTCTTGGTGAAAACAAAGTGGTTCTGGTGACCGTTTTGATTTTGTGAAGCTTTCCGCTTAAAGGACCAAATCATCAAAATATGCACCGACAAGCTAGAGAACTGGTTCTGTTATTTAAATCGAGCGTGAAAAAATGGACTGGGGCGCTACTGATGCTTCTAAGATTTGACTGTCCTAAGTCAAGCTGAATATCTGACAACATGGCAGTTGCTGCCACTCACTCACCTTCTTGTTTGAATTTTGCATTTGGTAGTTAATATTCAGACAGGATCTAACGCAGTCGTCACCTAATTGTGTTTGGTGTTTTGTCTTCAGCTGCTGCCGTTGGGCGGGGACTTCAGTGCCGAGTTTGACGGAGATACGGCCCGCTTGCATATCAATCAGGTGTACCCTGAGGACGAGGGTGAATACACCTGCGTCGCCTACAATGAGTTAGGTCGTGCCCTCACCTCTGCCTGTCTAGTCGTTGATGGTAAGAAATCACCTAATTAAAGACGAGGTGTACATATCTGAGATGTGAGGTTCTGATGGCGGTGAAGATGTGTTCTAGGTGTGTACTACACAGCGTCACAGCTCTTAAAAACTGCAATCGACAAGGCGTACGCAATTTCTAAGTGCGCGATTTGCTTTCTTGGGCTATCCTGAAGATAGGTACAGTATGTTCTCCGAAACGTTGGTATCTACCTGCAAGTCCACACGGCGTTACAGCCCGGAAGCCCTATTTGAGGTTTTCACGGCGGTGAGTCTGAAGATGGCTGTCTACTGAGTTGCGCCGTGTAGTCTGGTGAAGTTTACCGACGTTTCAGAGGTCCTTGCTGCCTCCATCATCGGGCGATGATATTCACGATCATGAAAGCATCAAATCTCATACTTTAAAGTAATCAGAAGTTAGATTGGGCCTTCACACGTGTAACCTTCTCACCAGAGTATTGCTATTCACGTGCTACTGTACAATGCGTCTTCCGATAGCCTCATTACATTTGCAAGCACCCATCAGGTAGTTTGAAGAAACCAAACCCTTTCTGAAAAGGAAGTGATGAATATACGGCCTGCTACTGGACGCAAAGTTTTATAAACGAGCACAATTTATTGAAATACTATGGCGATTTATTAAAAATCATACAAAATTAAGCGTGGTATTGTAACGATTAAGATTTACTCATTAATTTTCCTTGACAGCATCAGTCATCGGCCACACATTTGACATCGCCATTCTCTTGAATATTCTTTCAATATCAGGCTTTATTTCTTCTGTTAGAACTTGCATGCATCCCTTATGATGAAGAAGCTTAATGGTTCTTGGTCTGACGGTTGTCGTTAAGCAGAAAGCTGCCCACAGCGATTGTTACTGCCAATTACTGATGACATTTACAAGACGTGTTTTCTGATGTGCCATTATCTGCAATTTCCACTGTACGCGTATGCAGGAAACAACATTGTACTTTTTGCAGTACCTGAAGAGAAGGAGACGCTCCTTAGCAGGCAATTGTCTCGACCACCAGGACTCTTATCTGCGGGCTCCACCCCAAGGTCGACTCCCAGGACAACTCCATCTCGCAGCAAGTCACCGTCCATACCTCGTAAGTATTGATGAACTACGGCCATTTCTCTTAATCTTCAAGCGGTTATTCTGGAAGTTTCTTGGTAGATGGACTCGCTTCTGTTACGGAGAGATGGGGGTCTAGGCGCGAAAGGTATGCACTGAAGTAAGCTTTCTCAGGATAGGGTCTGGTGGTATACTGATGGACATTTTTTGTCAGTCGAGTTTCTATAAACTTTAAAAGGAGCACTGTACATAGTACAATAAAGCAAACAGTTTCTAGAACCACCATCTCCTGTCCAATAGGAACTGGAGGTCTTGCCTTTGATAAAGGTGTAGGAGCTTGAAGCTGACCACCCACCTCCATCAATGCCGGGGTTAATGATGCACTGTCTGTAAAGGCTTAACAAAGGGAAAGACTCTGTTTCAGGACATCGTGATCGTGAAGGAACGCCCTCCCGTTATACCTGTGAGGAGAGCAGGCCGCGTCGGTTGAAGGCTGCAGCCCCCAAATTCTATGCGGTTCCTCACAACCGGGTTGCAGAGGAGGGTGAGACCGTGCGCTTCCAGTGCGCTATCGCGGGCCACCCGACACCCTGGGTTACGTGGGACAAGGACGGCCTCATGGTCACCCCCAGTGCCCGCCTCACCCTGTCGGAGCGCGACGACCTGAGGATCCTCGAGATATCCGAGGTGACTGCCGAGGACGCGGGCTTCTACCGCATTACCCTTGAGAACGAAGTGGGCCGCGTGGAGGCCAGCGCACGGCTGGAAGTCATCGGTTAGTGGAAAGCAGTCTTTGATATTTTGTATCCTTCATTTATTCTTGGGTCTTTTCAAACCTCTTCTTTCTTTCAGATGACATTTCTTCCTCTCTTTTTCATCGTTTTGTACACAGGCCTGCTTCACCATATCTGCTTGGCTGTCACAACAACCGCCCTTCTATGACTGGTTGTTGGTTTCTGAACCTCTAAATTTGGCGTCAGGAACTCAGATACAAAAATATTGACTTGTAATTTAGAAAACATGGGTCAATTATAATTTATAATCTAAATAGTCTTCTCTTAGGCCTGTTTTGATTTTGTTGATGGTTTATGTAAGTGTGTAATGTACACGAAGTCCATGCATTTTGTGTCGAATGATACCAGAATATAATTAGACCTAGTGGCCCGTGGCGTCTTGTTCATGTATGAGTACGCTGTATTTTTGGCGTTCTGGAGATCTTCGTGAGAATACGTGTTGGAAATTGGAGATACGTGAACCAACCTAAGTTATTTGAGCTAGCCTAGCATTTCCCTGGAGGAAGTGAGGAGAAACTCACTAAGAACGCCAATTAGAAGAGCCATCCTTCGGATCAGAAATCGAAGTCGGAACATCTTGAACACGAAACAGGAAGGCTAACCTTTGAAACGCCACGTTTAACCGTGGAAGCTGAAGCGTAGAGCAAGACACGGGCTGTTGTCAAGTTGGTGCAGCGAACTATGCGAGGATATTGTGTCCTTCGGATTCCTAGAAACATTTCTTAAGTAGGCCTACAAATAAGAAACGATGCAATGACGGTGACGTCTCTTGATGTGGACAGTCTGTCCTCGTATCCTGACGTATTTCAGAATTGTTTCCTGTGTCGGCACATCTCACTGTTAATGCGAAAGATGAGTCACATCCGTTACGTTCGTGATTGAACTGGAAAATGCATCATTTGAATGAATTCAAAATACACAGCCCTCAGTGTGTCCGCTGGGAACTGCGTAGTGAAACAAACTGTACTTGGCATCGGCATTATACGAAACTATTTAAGTAGATGTTGGAAGTTAATACTTTCTTTGTTTTGTTTGTAATTTGTTGTGTTTTAAGTCCTAAAACCTTAAAAGCCATCACGTTTCGAAGGATGACTCTTCCTTCGTCTTCAGGTAGAAGACATTTAAAATGAGAGTAACGAAGAAAAACCTCAGTCAGTGCAACCAATCTACATTTTAAAAAATGAATCCTTGATTTCCTGAATAAGAACCAGGAGTGCTAACCACTTGACCACGCAGTCCGGTGTAATTATGATGATACTGGTGACGACAATGAGTATGGGGCATCGTGTTAGCGAAGCCAGAGTGTCATTTTGCGAACGACAAATTCCTAGGATAGGTCCTGGGCATCTCTCCCTGAGCCATGGCTGACCATCTGTACCTGTGCTTCGCATTTTACAATTCTGTCAACAGAAGCATACGGGGAAGTGGCGCTGAAGTCTGAACTCATTATTTTTGTCAGAAGGAAAGAGAGACAAAACACGTGATGCCTGTTTCATTATGGTCTGTCTATCCCAGGAGACTTAGTAATGTGGTTTTTGAAAAATATTGTATCGTTATGAGTCATTCGCCATGCAACAAGTCGCAGCTAACCTCACTTTCACCTGCTCTTGCGTGCACCTGAAATACGATGTCACATGATTGCAAAATATCGCAAACTTTTCCGTCCGGATTTCGCTTATGAAGTAGGTGTACGCAAATTGCGCACGTGTTGTTATTATGTGTTCTAAAGTTAATGCTGACAATGGGCATAAGGAGTGAACATAATTTCTTTACTTTGCAAGCCTAACTTGATGTTTTTGAAAGAAAGGATTGTGTTTAAATGCATACAGAATGTCACGAACTTGAATAAATATTGAAGACCTAATTTTTATCCTTTCGGATTAGGTAGTTATATGCCTTTTCCAGCCTCAAAACCATCTTTATACGTTATTACTCTTAGCTCTGTATGTTCGTAAATTCCAAGCTGTTTTCAGCTAACTTCTTCACCCATTCTGTCCACGTGGTCTTTAAATCATTTCCTGTGCGTAGGAATCTATTTATCTGTTTATTTAGGAGGAAAAGAAGAATGGAGTAAAATGAGAATTGAAAAAGACAACTAAAAATTAAGTTGAGAAACAAAAGAGAAATGGAAGAGAGACGAAAGGGGAAAAGAAGGAGACGAAACAAGGTAAAAAGATGTAAACGAAGAAAAAGGAAGCAGTGATGATGGGAATCGTGTCGGAAACAAATCAATCATTTGAGGTTTTTCGTTACAAACAGGTTTTACAGTGCATCCAACTTGACTTCCCTATACTCTGTTCATAAGACTCATAGCAAAAGTGTGGTACTGCATAATCAATGTTACCACAATTTTTGTTCAGGTCACTACACCGGGAGGTCGCGCGTAGTGAGGGCGTGGAGTGCCTCTCCCAGGACCTCCCCAACATTCGGACGGCGTCTCATTGGTTCAGCGGCTCGCGTGGGTGGGAGACTCACCTTGGCCTGTGACATCAGGGGCTCTCCGACGCCTGCTTCCACGTGGTACAGGTAAGGACGTGTTCCACTCATTTCCAGTCGCACTTCTCAGTAAGGAATTTGAGATATAAACTGGTGGCACCAGTCCGTTATTCCGTACGTCTGTTGGGAATCGGTTTATCGGTTTAGGACATTTTAAATTGCAGGGTACTTAATTTTATTAAGGCTTCAGTGCTGTAGTTATGTCTTACAGACTTGAGACTTAAAACAAACTGTATAACTTAAAACCTAATTAAAGCGTCTTCAGTTGCGATGTTGTTTAAACGACCCTTCTTTAGCTTCGTAGGTTGTGTAGCCTTGAGTAGAATGTTGATTGTGATGACGAATTTACAGAAATGTGGAAGGAAACGGCCGTAGCCTTTATGAATGTTCTCACCCAACATTTACACAAATTTGATGAAGAAAACCAAGCAATCGTAACAGCCGACCTCGAGCCAAGAGTCGAGGTCGGTGTCTTCTGAGTGCGCTGAAAAACAGTTACCGAACTGACGCACATGTTAAGTACAAACTATTGATAGGCCCTATTTGAGTCTATTGCCTAAAATATCATCCAGCTGTCCGTGCAGTATCAAATGGGGTATGAAAGCGATCATAAATGGTGAATTTGGAGAAAAAGGGAGGATAATGTCGTGGCCTGTTTTAGGGTATTAAAAAATTGACAGTGGAACCACGGTTCCTAGTTAATGTTGAATAACATTTAGCTGTAGAAGTATATTTGTACTGAAATAAAATTTTATATACACATTATATACCTTTACATCTTATCTATACGTGACGTCATTCGCCCACAGCTTATCTATGTGTTGCGTCATGTACTCAACACACACACTCTAGAACCGGTCTTTGTTACCAAATAAATGGCCAAAACTCCTAAACCGTGAGAGTTAGCTCAAATCTGTTTGCAAATTTGAAAAGCTCGTGTTTATTTACGTATTTCACTCGCAATTCGTCCGGATCTAACTCTTACGCCTTAGACGTGGCAAGCGGTTGAAGTTAAGGAACGAGGGTATAGTTATTACATGTCTTGGGTAATTATTTTGACAATGTGTAAAATATGCATTATAGAATAAA